GAGGAGAACTGCCCCACAGGGTTTCCTAGGCTGTCATCTATTGTGTCACTATGCACTCATATATACTCTTATAGCTCATCCACTCACAGCACCCCCTGGTGTAACAGAGTAGAACTGCCCCACAGGGTTTCTTAGGCTGTCATCTATTGTGTCACTATATACTCATATATATTCTTATAGATCATCCACTCACAGCGCCCTCTGGAGGAGAACTGCCCCACAGGGTTTCCTAGGCTGTCATCTATTGTGTGACTATATACTCGTATGTACTCATAGATCATCCACTCACAGCGCCCCCTGGTGTAACAGAGGAGAACCCACCATCTGCTCTACAGGAGGGAGATTCGTGGCAGCCTTGGAAACTGTCTGGGGCGGGTCTGCTTTGTCCTTCTGGTTGCTAGGAGGCAGAAAGAACTGGGGTGTGGAGTTCTACTGCAGACTGTCCTTCCTCTGTTGCCCCAGGCCCACAAACACCAGTTGTTGCATGGTGGACGGCAGTTGCTAGCTTAGAAGACCACAGGCAGGCAGACACTCACTGAACCAGGCTGTAGGCAGAAACTATAAACACACAGGGACACCATTGGACTGGGTAGCACCTCAAAACCACAGCCAGAAAGGGCTCTTTCTTACCAATAAAAGGTTTTTACCTTTTCTTCTTGGACCTCATGTTGGATAACGTTCTCGTCTGGAAAATGCATTGCTGTGAGGTAATGCTACGTTTCCTTGAAAGTCAAAATCAGAAACTATCACGAGGGCAGAGTGACTGGGACTTTGTGACCTGGTCTCTTGGAGGTCACATATATTTTAAAGAGTCATTTGACAAGTTTGGCAAGCAGCAAGCCGGCACGTCTCATTAAAATAGAAGCGACCAGATGGTGTGCGCCGCTAATGGCAGCCATCTGTGAACGCCACGCGAGCGAAAGAGCTGGCTGCACGGTGTGGTGCTGACCACTAGCCACAGGTGCAGAGCTGGTCCTCATGGGTCCTCACACACCAGCCAGATGGCGGCCACCACAGCGAGCCGACGTTTCTCATGGGACCAGAAAGAAGGCACAGCAGGGCAGTTCAATGAGGCGGCCCTGCCTCCTGGCAGCGCACGTGGGCGTTTGGTTTGTTTTCTGAAGAGTTCGCAAGAACGTGTGGGCTCCAGGTTTCTCCTGTCTCTCTTGAGCCTGGTTTGGACACAGGGTGGGTTCGGTTCCAGACCACCTCCATAAAGCCAACATTGCCATCTGAGGAGCCGCTCTG